CGCAGGGAGGGTGAATTGTCAAGTTGGAATGACTTGACTGCTGGCGTTCCACAAGGAGGCATTCTTTCCCCTCTTCTTTTCTCTTTGTTCATTAATTTTCTTTCCTTCTCGCTCGGCTGCTTTTATCATTTCTATGCTGACGATTTGCAGATTTATGTACAGACAACTGCTGAGGAAATTTCTAATGGAATATCTCAGCTCAATAGGGAACTATGCAATGTAAGTTCTTGGTCTGCTGACTTTGGAATTGCCGTTAACCCCACCAAATGTCAAGCTATTGTAGTGGGTGGCTCCAAGCAGATCTCCAAGATCGATTTTGGTCTGCTCCCACCTGTTGTTTTTGAAGGTACTAAAATTCCATTTAGCCCAAGCGTTAAAAATCTCGGCCTTCATATTGATAATACGCTAAGTTGGACGACGCAGATTGCCGAAGTCAGCCGAATCGTGTCTTTTTCGTTGCGTACCCTTAATCGCTACAGAAATTTTCTCCCCATTAAAACAAAGATCACTCTCGTTACGTCCCTTGTTCTACCTCTCATTGATTATGCCGATGTCTGTTATCCTGATTTAAATGCAGATTTTCTCAATAAATTGGACCGCCTTATGAATAATGCTATACGTTTCATCTTTTGCCTCCGCAAATTCGACCATGTTTCTTTATATCGATCCCAGCTAAAATGGCTTCCTATTCGCCAGCGTAAGCAGTTAAGATTACTCTGCACTCTTTTTTCCATTATTTCCAACCCTCATTCTCCAGAGTACTTGAAATGCAAGTTTCAGTATCTCTGTGATAGTCACGATCGTCCTCTCCGCTCTGCTGATTCATTAGCTCTCTATATTCCTCTTTCTCACTCAGGCTATATGTCCAACTCCTTTACTATTCAAGCTATACGACTGTGGAATGGCCTTCCCGACTCCATCAGAAGATCTCCTAGTAAACTTATATTTAAGAGGAATGTTCACGCTCATCTGTTGCAAAACTTAAGATGAAGTGTCATTTTAGTAATCATCATCTTGTGTATATATGTGTATACTGTATATATTTAAATATTAGTGTGTTTTGTTTGTATGTATTATATTATTTTTATAGTATGTATTTATATATGTATCTATGTTAATTTGTACATGCATTCGTATTTAGCTTTATACCGCCGTTCGTGTTTTTCATTTTTCCCAAAGGTTGACTGGGAGAGAATGCTTTTAGCATTAAGTCCGCCTTTTGAACCAATGTTATATATTTATATTTTGGTCAATAAAGTTTAAAAATAAATAAAATAATATTTGTATGGCGGGATGGAAGCGGAGATTTTTTTTTTATAGATAGGTCCGACAAAAGACTCCACCCCACCTGATGTTAAGTGAAGGTGAAGCCCAGACGCGAAGATATCTGATACAGCAGTTCTACCTGCCACACCAGCCATCCTCACCCTGCCGGCCGGCATGCTGCTTCTTCACGCCTCTTTTAAAGGATCCCAGGTTGTAAGAGGGAGTTAACACGTGAGCGGGCAGAGCATGAGAGTACGACAAAGAAATGAGTCACCAAATTTCTTTGTACGCGTTTTCTTCAAGTAAAAGAAGATACTTTTTATGTAATAATAGCGACATCGTCTACCTTTCGTGTGAGAATACGTACTGAGCACTCAACGCTACGCACCCGAGCTGGAAAACATCTCTTCTCGCATAGCACACATCTCTGCTTTGATGGAGTCCCGGCTTCACTAATACTTATAACATATTACATACTTGTAACATATTGAGCTCTTAAAAGCTGTTGGTGCAACTCTGCTTTACATGGTGGTAACGTAGACGGATCATAGTTTTTGACAGTTTTTTTGAAAGGCTCTTCCGTGCTCTTAGCTTTAAATGTCTTGTAAAATTTTTCAAAGCGTGCTATGTTTATATCTGCGATATTATTAACACCGTACATTTCACACACGAACTTCTCAAGCATGTTAAAAACCTCATTGCGTAAATCTGTCGTATGCGCACATCCTAGATCAATAAACGCTTTTTGATACAGTTTATTTTTCATTAATAGTTGGAAAGGCCTCCGCTTGCCTTTATTAAAAAATGAAGGATTGTAGTCACACCCAGTGACTGCATGAAAGCCAGGCAAACTTGCGCATACTGAATTTCCGAATTTGGCATATAATTGTGATATATCAATGAATCTTCTTCTATTTCCAGTGCCGTATTCCATAAAAATATTCGCCTGTCACCATTTAAATCCCAACCAAATCGCCTGGCATTATGATATATCGTTTAATTAAAAATCAGACTTTAAAATGCTGTAAGATTCAAAGTGCCTCAAGAACATTTTCTGCATGAGAAAAATTGCGAATTAAAAAATTCATAGCTCATTAGAGCCCCGCAACCTCCCAGCCAGGTCGGCCATTTCATCATCCACACATTCGCAACTAATCAACAATAATATTTTCAATGTGCCTCAAGGATGTACTCAAAAATGGCTGTCAGCTCTTGGGGTATAATGTATTAAGTATGCATTTTGCATGGTGATGCGACCCGCTCCACCTCGCTGCGGCCCGTCATAATGTGCACAAACCCTAATAGTGTGAGTTGAGCCTCAGGAAACTTCTTATGAGATCGCTCTTCAATTTCGCCGTTCAGTGTTGGCAGGTGGGACATGCTGCGACAAAAAAATCTCTGAATAAATGAATGAATGATTTATTTATTTTCTCTCACAAAGTCACAAAGTAACATTATAGTTAATTAAAGGGTATTGAATGACAAAACAGTAATAACAATGCAGTTCTTTGAGAGAGCTGGAGATTGTACTAGGTTACAAAACCTGTGTTACGACCCCCAGGCTCAAATCCTCTTAAAGCCCGTTTGCTAGAGATTCTTATGCATTACATGAATCCTTTAGTACATATCAGTTTATGTTACATTGAATGTTACAGAACCATAGTGAATTTAATAACAGAATTATAAGCAAAAGAAAAAGAAAGTTACCGCCATTTATCAGTAAATGCGGGTTATAAATAGTGTTCTAATCTAAATCCGAAATAGAAAGAAAAGATGGAATCATCATATTTTTTGTTTTTTAAGCTATTAACTGCTCGATGTTTAAATCTCAATAAACGGGATTCGAACCCGCACCCTTCGCTCTCCGGGCGATTGCACTGACCATTATACTATCGCTGTTCGAGTCCTTTCTGCTGCCTGGTCCGCGTGGAGTATTTTCTAGTAATATTTTCTTTAGATGGAATCATGTTTTATGTCTAGTCAAAACATGTTCGGTCTGTAACTGTGGAAGTAAAGCAATTTTCGTAATGGCCGGTCTTAGGATGGGTGACCAAAAATGTATTATCTGCACGCCACGGTAAGGCGTTGGTCCCAGCTGCATCTACAGTCTTCTTTAGCATCCACCTACCACACTGGGCTCGCGTGATGGGTCATATACCGGGCTCTCACTATCCCATCCATTGAGAAAGCCTCTATCTAGAATAGAGAATATAAAAATAATGCAATATCTAACTGTATCAGGATAAGTTTACAAACAAATACAGTACTAAACACAAATCAAACCATAAGAATATTTGTGATTCCATTTGTTACTGTTATTAATCTTTATATATATAATTCTTCTGTGAGTGTGTATGTCACTGAACTTCTCTTAAACGACTGGACCGATTTTGATGAAATTTTTTGTGTGTATTCAAGGGGATCTGAGAATGGTTTAGATTCACAATTTTGTCCGCTGGACAATGTTTTTTTAATTATTTTTTTTATGGCGGTACGAAGTTCGCTGGGTCAGCTAGTCTTATATATAAAATTCTCATATTACAAAGTTAGTTACCATACTCCTCCGAAACGGCCTGACCGATTTTTATGAAATTTTATATGCATGTTTCGTGTGTCTGAGAATCGGCTACTATCTATTTTTCATATCCTTGAATGATAATGGTTGTCCACCTGTAACGTAGTGTTCTAAAACCTACAATGCGCCTTCGCGCCAAAATTCAAACTATTGTGTATTGTAACGTAGTGTTCTCATACGGGTTAGGAGGAATGTTATCCCAGGAAATTGATAGAACACTACGTTACACACCCCTAATTTTATTGGACACTATTTTTTTTATTAAATGTGCTATTAAAAAATGGGTGCGTGTACTTATGTAGGCGCGTGAGAAGTTATCCTTCTTTGGCATCGTTTAAAATTAGTTTTTAATTGCATGCAAATAATTAATTACAATAAATTAATAAAAAGTCTGGAAAAGGACGAAGTCAATAAAGTTCAGTTTTAATTTGAAAAAATAAATAAATAATCAAAATATTCAATTAAAATCGCTACTGAATATAATTTATTAGAACATATGTGATTTGCACTTGTATGAAACTCAAACACGTATTCCGAATATACAAACTAGAAACACGTGGATAAATATTATAAATATGAATACCTATAACTGTTACTTTATTACAAAAAATAAAGATGTGGTTTTTGGTTCTACTACACCAATGGTCAAGAGATGGCGCTGTAGTCTCCTGAATCGCGCTTTGGTTCCGTTGTTCCAGATTAATAAATACTTTTGATAGGCCTTCACAATGCAGTCGTTAGCACCCACTAAATAGAGATTCTATTTCTATATTGTTGGTAGATTTTCTTAATGTGCGGTAAACACAAAAGTAACGCATGAAGTTGGTCGCTAAAGCGACCAACTTCATGCTGTTAAAATTTTGTGTTACAGTGATGCGCGCGCATCCTAAAATTTCACTCTCATCATTTTTTCATAACGCGCCTAAAGAAGTATAACTTCAAAAATACATATAACCCTAAATTTTCTCTTCTACCACCTGCCCCTATTTTTATGGCGGTACGAAGTTCGCTGCGTCAGCTAGTTAGTTTATAAATTGCACGCGTTAATTTGTAGTTACAAGAAATTCAGTCTCAAGTAATTCAATTCGCATGATCCAAATATTTTCCGAAGTGGAATAGACCATACGACACAAGGTCGTACACGATCTCAGAGCTTAGTGTCCGCTCTCCACTCACACAATTAACACTGATAAGAAGATAACGCGCTATCTCTGCTCATCGCGATAACAGAGCGACGGAGAAAATTGCTGAAAATCATTAGACGCTGAAAATTGCAGTTTATGGTGTCCAGCAAAGTATCAAAAATAATATCACAGAAAACTTTCAAACAATTTTCGCGGCGGAAATGTTAGAATCGTATTGTGCTTAGTGTTTTTTTTAGAAACGGTATCTGAAGTGACCGCAAATCATGTATCTTAATCATTGGTGCTTATAAAAGTGACGTTATAGAGCAACCATAATCATGGAGGACCATAAGATCATACGACAAGACAAGGAGTATGAACAAATCGATTTGTTGTACGACGAATGTCTTAGCTACTTGAAACGGTACAGTGAAAATGAATTGATTTTCGATGAGAAAGCTCTGCTAACTAATAACAACGGTAATGAAACGGAAACAGATGATCCTGGTTACGAAACTATAAAAGATGTTAAAATAGAGAGTCAAATTAAAAATAACATTAATTCAGAGAAATGTGAACAAAACAATATTAAATATAAATCGTGCGGTGAACTAAATGGTTTGAAATTAACAGAAGCGAAAACAGAACACTATGTTAACCAAATAGATTTCAAAGTTGAAAACGAGGTGGTATCTGAAAGTGCTACATCTCTGGAAATGTTGTCACCTCGTTTAAGAAAACTGTCGGCTCAGCTTCCGAGGATAATTATAACGCAGAGCAATACCAGTTTGGCGATAAAACAAGGGAACTTGAAGCTAGAGGATGTTTTGATGAGGCAAAACAAAGTCAAAAAGATACCGGTTACTAATAATAGACACAAGTAAGTAATATTTGTTTCTTAGGTTTGTTCTGACGACGCATTCCTGAAAAGGATGCGAAAAATTAATAAATAAATAAAATCAGTGCATCTAACCCGTTGAAACTTGTCTTATTCAACAAGTAAGTTCTGTTAGATAGTATTAACTTCAATATTATAATTTATTCAGCACCAGTCCAGGTATTCGATACTATTGTGTTTGATAGTTTACTATCATACACCTTTGGAATCTATAACTTGAAATTTAAATTTGGGACGTATAAGAAGCACACCAGGATCCTTAAAATAACATGCCAATGGTGTCGATTCTGGCATGACTCTCTAAACCTAAACTTAAATTTGACAACAGTGCATCCTTGTCATTCTCTATACAGAATGAAAAGGAGAGACTGATGTTAAATTTAGTTTTAAGTTTAGAGAATCATGCCAGAATCGACGCCAATACCGATGTATTGGCTAATTTATTCAAACCTCTTACTTTATATTACACCGACTCGAAAAGTGCTTTATTCTTGTTGTTAACGCATAATTAAGAAGTTCTGCTTACACCGGAACGTCGCTAAATTTCTACCAGTAGAAGCAGCTTTGTCCCACGTGATCAAAAAACCCCCTCTATACTTGTCACTCTCTACGCAATTCGAATTTTGTACGCTCAACTTTCTTTCGCAATTTTCGTTTAATTTTATTTATTTGTAATTATATTCGCAATATACGTATTATTCAAGTAAACAACTGAGCTTTATTGAAGAGTACGCATAACGCCGAAACATTTGTTTTAAAAATGAAGCAGAAATGACCTCTTTACTTGTATTATTAAGCGAGCTGGAGAAGTGTAATAAATTACATTTCCTAAGAAAAACATTGTTAACGAGATTTTAGTTCCGAAAAGCGGTCAGTATGATTTTGCAGAATTTGCGATAAGTTTATTAACATTAAGCTGTTTGCTTTCTTAATTAATTTTGAAAATAGAACAAAACCTAAAAAAAAAAATTTTTCCTAAATCCGAATTCGATCATTTTTTTTAAATAACGAGGTCCAAGGGTGATGGGGTGTCACCTAAAATATAGTTTTTTTCCTGAATCCGAATTTGATATCAAATCTTATTTGATATCAAAATAGTTGAAGCTTGTTTTATCTAATTATATATCATAAACTTCATATCAAAAACCCCGGATTCGCACGACAGTCGCTGATTCATGGTTTTTATATGATGATTTCGTTTAAATTTAATTTTATTTGTCTATATCTATTAATTAATATTTTTTATATTAGTTAAATTTGCAGCTGACTTGAACTTGATGGTATATATCTAAACAAATTCATTAAATGTATTTTTATGTTATAAGCTACTAAAAATAGTTAAAATGTGAAGAAAACCAAGCTTGCAGCCGATTCGCATTGCATTTAAGCATTTTGCGAACTAGTGAAAAGATTCGCAACTAGCCTCTTTCGCATGGCCGAGTAATTCTAATGATTTTTTCTGTAGATTTCCTTTATATCTCATCATAGAAAAAACATGATAACTGCTGCTATTGTATAATGGTTTTCAATGTATAACATGGCAAATATTAAAATAAAACTACACTAAAACTATACAAATATTAAAAATTAAGCTGCCCTAGATCGTCCCCGTCGGCAAAGGTTCCCAGGACGCTGGCGGCATTTCCCCGCTGAATGGCGAGACTTATGCGCTGGGCGAAATAGCCGCCAGCTCTGCGGTCTCCAGTGGTCTCCACCAATCTTTTTGCGATTTCTTTGAAAAGATGGTGGGCACCGGAGCCCCAGGGTCCCAGGGTCTCGACTCCAAAATCATCATCATCATCAGCATATTAATGTCCCTACTGCTGGGGCACATGCCTTCCTTGTAGAGGGAATAGGGAGATTGAGTCATGACCCACCACGCGGGCCCAGTGGGACTTGGCGGGTGCTAACGACCGCAGATGCAGCCAGGACCAACATCTTAACGCGCCTTCCGAAGCAAGGAGGAACTCTAGCTCAAAGATATTTGGGCACCCATCCAATGACCGACTACTGCGAAATTTGCTTAACTTCAACGATCGCACCCAAACACGCTAATGAGCGCCATCGAGCTCCTCCTTTATTTCTAACTAGTGGCCTGCCCTCGCTTCGCTTCGGGGTAGAATTGATCAAAATCCTTTCTTAGCGGATGCCTACGTCATAACATCTACCTGCATGCCAAATTTCAGCCCGATCCGTCCAGTGGTTTGGACTGTGCGTTGATAGATCACTATGTCAGTCAGTGACCTTTGAGTTTTATATGTATAGATTTTCACATACTAACCTAACGGGTGATTGTTAGCATCAGAAGACCTCCTCAGCTACGCCGAGGTGGTTACGGAGAGTTTCCCAAGAGGCTGGTCTCCAAGAACGGCCTGGAGAACATAGCTGTCATCTCCAACGTGCCGTTCAGGAAGATCCGTCTGCTCAACGATACCTTTCACACTTTGGTTAGTGAATTCTACAGTAAGAGCTTTTACTGAGTACTTAAATTCCACATCATCATCATCAGCCTATTAATGTCCCCACTGCTGGGGCACAGGCGTGGATGGAATAGGGAGATTGGGCCATGATCTAATACGCTAACCTCATGCGATTTGGTGAGTGCTAAAGACTGCAGATACAATAGGGACCGTCGACCGTCGAGCTCAAGATAATAAATTTTTGGTCACCCATCCAAAAAACGACCACTGCGAAAGTTGCTTAACTTCAACGAGCGCAGCCGAACGCGATAACCGTTTGCGCCATCGAACTCCTCAAAATCTATTAAAATCTACATCCAATTTCAAATTAATGAATACGGTATTAACATACACATGAAACATTTGAATTCAGTATAAAAAAAGAATTGATTAAATTCAAAATCCTTTTTTTTAAACAGACTTACCTCGACAAAAGAACACTGTAAATGTGAAAATACCCAAACATGTCATCCAATAACAAACTAAATTAAAAAAAAGTGTAGTTTTAAAGGTGCTGTCCTACGATCTGTGTTGTCGCGGGCGAGGCCGCGCCGCGCAGCGTTGCCGTTAGGTATGAAAACTCTAACGTTCGAAATTTAGCAGTCTCTATACACGATACGAGGTAAATAGAAATCTCGTACACTATGTGATAGCATTATAAATCTGTACTTACTGAGTCGAGACTTTCTGGACTGAACATTTAATTACTTTCTGATAATATTTCTGGTTTGTGTACATGACACCAACAGTCAACATTGTTCAAATCTCATATCAAAGTGTACGAGATTTCTAATTACCTCGTATCGTGTATAGAGACTACTTAATCTCGAACGTCAGATTTCACATACGTTTGGCAGCTATCATCATCATCATCATCATCAGCCTATTAATGTCCCCACTGCTGGGGCACAGGCCTTCCCTATGGATGGAATAGGGAGATTGGGCCATGACCCACCGCGCGGGCCCAGTGCGGATTGGTGTGATAACGACTGCAGATGCAGCCGGGGCCAACGGCTTAACGTGCCTTCCGAAGCACGGAGGAGCTCGAGATAGTAAATTTTTGGTCACCCATCCAATGACCGACCACTGCGAAAGTTGCTTAGCTTCAACGATCGCAGCCGAACGCGCTAACCACTTGCGCCATCGAGCTCCTCAACTATGCACGGCGCGAATTTGTATATTACCAGGAACACAGAAGAATAAAGATATCGCCAAAACAGCACGCAGCGGACAGTCAAAATAGTATCGTGATTTTCATGTGGCCGCCCGTCAAAAGTATCAGGAGCGCAGAAGCGTAAGATGGTAACGTTGTTATACGCACAGTGGGTAGGAGCAAGAAAGGTAGGAGTAGGAGCTTGCTTAACACCACACCCACTTTCAATATGGTCGCTTGCGTTGTCCACTCAGGCACGGTAATAATATCATACAGTATTCTATCTTCATACAAACGGTCGGAAAGCGAGTCATACCTACGCCACTCGAGTTCGATGTGCTCTCGGCGTGCACCCAGTCGCGAATGCGCCGCCGCGCCGCAACGACGACCGAACGGTCTGAATTGTTTTTTATGCAGTTAGCCGTGCTTAAACGTGCGTTTTGTATTGGAAAAGAACAAACGACGATCAATATCGTACAACAGCACAATTGCTGTTTTTGGTTGCTTAAACTCTTCAATAACACACCCAGAGATATCATTTTTTAAATTACCTGAAATATTGGAAAGGTGTCTTACCTTTATAGAATATTTTTTATATACCTATGTACTAGTACGTTATTTTTTTCTAATATTTAGGTATTTCGGTTTTTCCATCGGGCAAAATATCTGGAATAATATATAAATAAGTGGTTAGGATGAAAAAAGAGACAAACGAGTAATCTACATACACTCGCGTTAAAAACAAAACTACATAAAATACTGTAGGCTGGCGGCCCTACCGCGTGCCAACGCAGCGCTCGGTGTAGGCATTTATTTTCAAGGACAGGGCGGAGTCACAATACTGTATAGATAATATTACCGTGACTCAGGGGTACTTGCAGTGGTGGTAGCGTATGACGTCCTTCGTTGCACGATACGTCGTATTAACCAATAAATAAAGACAGCTGCTTAATGATGGTGGAAGAGGCGACGACGATCTGTTGATGGCTAACGAGAACTCCTTTGATTCATGCACTCCTAATGTTTAATTTTTGATTTTTATGTTTCATTTTGAATTTCATCTACTATATAAAAATAAGTCGGGTTTTCCTTCCTGACGCTATAACTCCAGAACGCACGAACCAATTTCCACGGTTTTGCTTGCGTTGGAAAGGTCTCTGGCTTCGTGAGGTTTATAGCAAAGAAAGTTCAGGAAAAATTAAAAAAAAACTTCTTTTAATCACCAAACGAAATGTTACATAAAACGAAGCCATCTGGTGGCGAAACGGAGTTCGCCGGGTTTGCTAGTATTTTTTAAATAAAACTACTGCGGTTTGTAGACGTTTACTCGGTATCGAGGTCCGGGGCAGTGTTTCCACTTTAATGATTTCCTTTCCCCACGCCTCAATTCAGATTTCCCCTACTTAGGACATTTTTCCCCTCACAAAAATTATTCTGCTGTAGTTCTTAGATTTGGCACTACTGTTAGTAACTAAATAAAAAAAAAGGTTTTAATTTATCTTATTATATAACAGATAAATAAAATATATAAAATCTGTACGTGTTGCCACAGTTTCTTTTATACGGCAACACTAGTCCACGGTATAATCCATAAAAAATTTGTTCCGTGCCGTATTATTTTAGGCTAGGCTTTACCCATAATTTCCCGCAATTTCCCCTTTTTCTTCCCCTCTGGACAATAATTTCCCCTTTAAAGGGGAATTTCCCCTCATTGTGGAAACACTGGTCCGGGGGGAAGAGGAATAGCCGCTCGATGATTAATAAACAGACTAGATGAATTTACTTTAACAATAAACTTATCGCAGATCAACCTGCGCTGGCGTTGGATCGTCCTTGGCACGGTCGTCGTGCACTTCACAATTTGGCTGGTATTCGCCGTGTTCTGGTACATGACAGCGCTGGCACACTACGACCTGGATCCCAACCCACCGAATAAGACCTGCGTCACGGGCGGCAAGGATTTCGTCACCATATTCCTGGCGTCGGTGGAAGCTCAGGTATGCAGTCTTTTGTTATTACTTTTATAATTACTACTAGCAACCGCCCGCGATTTCGTACGCGTGGAGTAAGTTATTTGCACATACTTTTTGACCCCAAAAAGGGGTTTATTTCTAAAGATACATTATTAGTACACCTCAACACCATCTATAGTGCATAAATGTTAAATTTCAAGTCTCTCACTTGAAAAACATAGGACTTTTATACAAACTTCCAACCCCCGTATTACCCCTTTAGGGGCGGAGTTTCTTGATAAAATGTAGCCTATGTTATGACCCGACTTCTTAATAATATTCGTGCCAAATTTGAAGTAAATCCATGCACTACTTTTTGAGTTTATCCCGGACATAGATACAGACTAACAGACAAAAATTCTAAAAACTATATTTTTGGCTTCAGTATCGATTGTAGACCGCACCCCAAGTATTCTTTTAATAAAATATTCGATGTACATGTTTCCTACCATTTTATTATATGTATAGATTATAGTAGTACTAGCAAACCAGTGAACCAAATGTTCACCAAAACCTGATTTCTCGAAAACCGTGGTTCAGTATATTGTGAAAGTTACTCAAATTCGGTTTGTAGTCTTATCAGACTATTCTTAACTTATAACTTAAATATTCTCTTTATCTATCTCTTACGGTTTGGCCACTGAAACAGCACCACAGACGGACGGACTTGTCTAATAGATAAGAGATTATATTTTTTGAGATTTTTTTAAAAGGTGGCAAATAATTAACTTGGTGGAAAGCGCGCCGTTGCCTACTCTGACCCCATCCCCTACCTCGTGGATTGCTGGAACTTCGTGGTCTTCTGTAATGTTGAGATAAAGAATAGGGATGATGACTATTTTTTTTCTTCGTTTATCAGGTAGATTATCGAAAAGTATTGGACACGTATTTTTTCTTTTTTCACATAATATAAACATTGCAGAGATATATTGATTTGAAAAGTCGCATGACGTCACGTTTTGTTACAATTTTCACTTAAAAGTGACGTCACTAGCTCCTACTCCCAAACTTTGACGCGCTATAACTTTGTAATTTTTTGGTTGATTGCCCAAAGAAAAAATACGTGTCCATTATTTTTTGATCATCTAACTGACGGACTAAATAGAATTTCGTTTACTGTACCCCGTCATCACCCATATTATATCAGTCTCCTCAAGGTAATTAGATTTCTGATGTCTATAGATAAAAGAAATTTTATTCTATAAAAATGCTCTTGGTCCCTACCAGGCTTAGAGCACGTACCAGGTTATCATGCCTCACTTTTTTTTGGTCGTGTTTAGGGAAAACTGTCGTGTTTTTTTTTCAATGAGTTAACTTATCTAAAGTTTTTATTATCTGCGAGATATAATTTTCTTCTGTTTTCGGTTCCCAATTATTTGTCGACCAATGGAAAACTAAGTTATTCACACTTGCTAAAGTAATATTTGTTGTTTATAATTACTGTAGTACAAACTCTGTGTAGTTTAATCTAAATTCGACAGTTCTTAGTCAAAATAAGATTTAAGACACTAAATATTACTTTCGCAAGTGTAAATAACTTAATTTTCCAGTGGTCGACAAATAATTGGGAACCGAAAACAGAAGAAAAAGACCCGTATTATAAAACATTCTCAGTAAGAAATCCAGTTTTAGAAGTAGTTTCAGAACGAGATTTAATTTTACAACGTTTCTTGAAACATAAACAGCAATCAAAACTCAGTTGAGTAATGGCTTATTTCAGAAGGACATTCACATCAAAAACTAAAGATTTGAAATTGGTTTACTTAAGTATGGTCGACACAGTTCTTATGAAGAGAATACGTAATATAGTCTATCTACGAGTATATATATAAAATTCAAAGGTGACTGCCTGACATAGTGATCTATCAACGCACATCCCAAACCACTGGACGGATCGGGCTGAAATTTGGCATGCAGGTAGATGTTATGACGTAGGCATCCGCTAACAAAGGATTTTGATCAATTCTACCCCCAAGGCGATAAAATAGGGAATGAAAGTTTGTATGAAACTTTGTCAATTTTAAACCGATCGGGCTGTGACTTTGCATGCAGGTATAAGAAGAATCAATGATGAATGTCATTGTGTATAATACAAGCCTGAGAACAAAAACTGTAGTCTACACTTCAGCTCTACACCGAAGCGAAGCGAGGGCGGGCCGCTACTCTCAAATAAAGTTGTAACGCGAGTTTATGAAGTTTGACATACCGCTTTGTTGTTTATTTTCTAAGTGTAATTAAAAACATACATACTTAGGCCCGTATTACAGAATGACAACTAAGTGTTGATCTTTACTTGAGTTCAGTTAGAAAGGGATGTCGCTATGTGCTATATATAGCGACATCCCTTTCTAACTATGCTCAAGACCAGATCAATCACTGAGAATCTTTCTATAAATACCGGCCTTAGTCCATAGACAAATTTGATCGGAGTTCAAAACGATTTTTGATTCTAGTTTCAGCTGAGTTGCTCTTTAATCACAATCTGTAATATGCTGGGCAACTAAGTAGTGATATACACTAAAAACTAGCTTTGCGTGATTCGAGTATAATTTCTACTTGAGCCGGCCTTTGAAACTATAGATTCAAACCGACTTTTTAAGGTTGTCTGGTCTAAATAAAGATATAATGACTTTATCAAATGTAGCGTACAAGATTCGTTGTGCGTGTAGTAGTTTGACCCTTGATATTATTGTTTGTAGGCTTATTTACAACCCACATGCCTTAATGTAGCTAGCGGGCCAAGTAACAAGTTGATAGCGATTTTAAAATAAATTTAATTTCGTTAAATTTTATTGTAAAACACTGCTACTGTTTTACTATTACGAGTATTTAAAGTTAATATTTAATAAAAAAACGCATAGCTGAGCGAATAAAAAAATATTAACATAAAAATGATTAGTCAAATTAATATTTGGAATCGGTGCTAGTGCCATACCAACCCAAGTAGTATATGGGGACTAATATCTATCAGACGTGCATGGCATCGACTCCAAATATTAATTTGACTAAAGATATAAAAAAGGTTTATATTTTTTTACTTCCCGGTTTAATTTTTTTTGTGAAAAAGTGGTTATTTTACAATTTTTTGGGCTATAATTTTTGTAATATACAACTCGGCATAAAAATCTGTGTGTCCTTTACAAAAACAAAATAAGTATCAAAATCAGTCTACTCTGCAAAAAGTTATCTGTGGTCATACATTACAATAAGCGAGTGCACAATCAATCATCCCCTGTTTTCATACGCGTTGGGATTATTATTTAGTTGAAGAAGTTTTTTATTGGAAAGGGTATCCTTTTCAATAAAAAAAGAGTTATCATAATCGGATTACTCTGTAAAAAGTAATGCATTACGTCATACATAAAAAAAATAATATCTTTTTTATGTATGACGTAATGTATAGACCGTATAATCAGTAATGCATTACTTTTTAACATACACGTCGACTTGAGAAGCTCCTCTGTTTCTTTCGTCGAGTAAAAACACATGAATTGTGAATTGAGTGAGAAGAGCAAAAGAAGAGGATATAAATATGTGTCTTTTATTTTATGATTTAAACTTACACTTTATATAGAATCACACTAATATTATAAAGGCGAAAGTTTGTGAGTATGTGAGTGTGTATGTTTGTTACTTCTTCACGTCTAAACGGCTGGAACGATTTTAATAAAATTTGCTGTGGAGTTAGCTGATACCCTGGATTAACACATAGGCTACATTTTACTGCGGGAAAATATCTTATTTCGATGGGAAAATCGATGCAAATAAATTTTGTTTAAGTAGGTACATATTTTTTGACATTCATGTCAAAGCTATTTTGATAGATTAATATTTCATACGTATATTTCTAGGACAACGATATTGTTATAATTTTTTTGTGTATCTAATTATGACTCACAATTGTAAACCAAATCGTTCACAGAGCTCACAAAGAGCTTCATCCATGAAAATTGCAAAACAGCAAGAATCTACTTATGATACTGAACAGCGCAGACGTGACCAAGCAACACGTCAGGCAGAAGTCAGAACTGGAGAAACATCTGCGCAAGCTGATGCTCGGCGTCTGGAAAATCCTATATGCGGATAGGATTTTCCAGACGCCTTCTCAGCGTGCATCAGAGACAACTGATGAGGCAGCTTTTCCGCGTCAAGAAAACGCACAGCCTATGGCCACACAGTGATCCAATCAAGCACCTTATGAAGCAACTTCTCGACGGCGAGAGAATGCCCAGTTTATGGCTAATCAGCGTGCATTAGAGAAACATGAAGAAGCAGCTACTCGGCGTCAAGAAAACGCACAACTTTGTCCATTCAGCGTGCCATTGAAACACCTGATGAAGGAATTTCTCGACGGCGAGAGCATGCCCAGCTTATGGCTAATCAGCGTGCATTCGAGACACCTGAAGTAGCAGCTACTTGGCATCAAGAAAACGCATAGCGTATGTCCACTCAGCGTGCCATTGAAACACCTGATGAAGAAACTTCTCGAAGGCTAAATCATGCCCAGCTAATGTCTAATCCGCGTGCTTCCGAGACAGTAGATGAGATAAATTCTAGACTACTTGCAGTCGCAGAGCATCAAGCAGAGTGCCGGCAAACATTTACCAGAAATGCTTGGGGGTTATTTGAAAAATGTGGTTTTGAATATGACTTGACATTGGATTACAATAGCAACAGGCTCATTAAAATTTGCCGTATGGAAAATGTGTGCACCATTGTGGGGCATTAAAATGGAATGAGGAAAGAGCGGGAATGTGTTGCTCTGGGGGCAAAGTAGCCATTCCTGTTTTAGAAGAGCCTGTGGAACCCTTAAATACATACAAGTAAAATTGATGAATCTTGACGGTTCTAAAACTGGATACAACCATGCTTTTACATGTCGTCGTTCGGGGCGGACAAAGGACAATGGCGAACTCCCATACAATTTTATGTTGAAATTTTTTCTTGCGTCTATAAATGAATTGCATGTTAAATTATAGAGTTTA